CATCTAGAGGTCTTTTAAAGTGACTCGGTAACATCGTCTCAGATTCTGAAACAAAATCCTGAATTTAGCTCATGCTGCAATGATAATCATAAACTTTTACATGTAGGTCTGCCAGGAACCCTATGACTGTTACAAGTTGATAGCCTGTCTGATTATCAAGATATTTATGATTGGAAATCGAAATCAAATTTTCTGTTTTCCTAACAGCTTTTATAACGCTACAATCTATTGGGGAAAATATGGTATGTAGTATGGTAAAACCGGACACTCACAGATTTTTACTTTTGTGAGGCACTTCATGATCATTTTGAATAGTGCTGTAACATCACGGATATCTCCAATTCCGTTTAACCGCCAGTCAAAACCGGACGGTTTTCGGTTAAACGATTTAAAAAAAAACAAAAACAAAAAAAAACAAAAAAAAAACAAAAAAAAAAAAAATCGTTTTTTTTTGTTTTTTTTTGTGGGCAGACTCTTTCGGCAGGTCCGTGTGAAACAGCGGGAAGGACTTTCATTTGTGCTTGTGAACTAGTCACAAAGAATAGTAACAATGTCGTTTTTAGAAGAATGTGTGAGATCATTAATGTAAATTAAAAACAGTAGAGGACCTAGGATAGAACCTTGTGGAACACCATGTGTAAAAATTGGATGAATTATTATTATAAACTACATATTTCAAACCAAGATGACAGACAAATTGGAGTGTTGTTCTATTTTCCGAGTGGTGAGTCATCACACCGACTGAGCTGGGATACATTGCCAAGCATAATGCCAGGTGGAGGGGCATAAATCGAAACTTTAAAAAAAAAAAAAAAAAAAAAAAAAAAAATTATTAAAAAAAAAAAAAAAAAAAAAAAAAAAACGGGAAAACGAAACCGTCCAATTGAAAACGGAATCCGCCATGGGCGGTCGGATACCGGACGGTTAAACGTTTGACTACAGCACTAATTTTGAATCACAATTTGTTTAAGGCTTCAATATTACACCATATCACAGACATGGATAACACGTAGGGCCATGTATCTCAGATTTAACATTGTTAAACAATGCCTTTGAGAGGGACCTGGGTTTCAATTTGACTATCGACAGCAATTCATATCAACTACATTTTGTAGGTACATGATGTACACCCTATCAATGTTCTCATGTTAATAGGGAATGTGGCTTGGCTGTCATCCAACTCAGAAGCTGAGATATCTCAAACATGGGTCACATAAAAGGAAAATATTTTGCCCATTTTCAAAAGTAAGAATTGTTGCTATGGAAACGCACAGAAATATGAAAAGGGTCGTCTCCCAAACAGATGGAATTCTGAGAAAATGTGGTTTGGGAAAATATTGTATTTCAGAGCAATTGACTTGGAAATGGTTTAGGCAAAAAGGAACATAGCATTGAAGGACCTAAACATATATTGCAATTCATCACACATACATGTACTACAAAAAGTGTCATAAAAATACAAATTTAAAAAGAAATTGCTGTGCAAATTCATCTTTGGAAGAGCTGAGGTCAAGTTTACCGACCTGTATTCTTATTTGCAGGATCCAGTGGATGAATTAAAGGTACTCTCAACCACTCAAAGACTTGGGGCATCAACTACATGTACACTTAACAGAAAATAAAAAGAGATGTTTGTAGTATTTCTGACAAATATTTACCTTACAATATTTCATTGCATAGTCTGTGCGAGTAAAACGTGCACTACTATAGTCTCCAACTTGTTCCAAACGTGTTAGCATCACAAGGGTGAGTGAGGGATGTAGATTATATTTGCTGAATGCCAACATGCTTAAACGGTGGGCGAAATATTTGAGCATTTCTTGAAAAATTATGTACCTGGCAGCGTGCTTTAGGGAGCTGCTGAAATACATGTAGGTTGTGCTATATTGCATTTGTACAACCTACACTGTCGAACATTTATAGGTAATATAGGTTACGACTTTAGTGAAATAGCTATACAGATACTCTGGGAATAGATTATTGTTTTATGAAATTGTACTAAAAGCTTCCCCTCAAAAAATGTTATGACATTGGCTTCTTCAAATATGTACATCATGCACACGTGTACGTGTACTGCGTGCGCAACAGGCAGCTTTGAGCATACATATCAAACAGCAGCATTTAGTTCTGCTACAATATAGATAAGGTCTCTTCCCCCCCCCCCAAAAAAAAAAGAGGTGCAGAATACACATTGCACATGTACATCAGTCTGTATGATAATGACCTCATGGTGACCCGGAAGTGAAGGGAAAAGGAAGTACAGAACAGTAGTCTGTATATGTATTTGTAAAGGCCTACTTGTACCTCTAAGAACTGATACAAGGGCTCTGTCTTGATAAAGAGTTGATATTAATCGGAACTTATTAGTGATTGATATCAAGAAGTCAAGCATTGCAACAACAACAAAAACAAATACAATGATAAAAAAAAGCAACAAATTAAACTAAAGTAAACACAGCAAGAACTAAAAAATCTCATAAAACAAACACAAAATGGAGAAGAAAAAAAAACAGGATGTGTTTGAGTAACAAATTTGCACACCAAACTTGCACGATGTTGTTCCCACCATAGTTTACTAAGATTTTTCTACCCCTTTCCAGTGTTTTTAATGTCAAAATAGTGTAGTGTGTGAAACTGTATTTACTGTACATGTAAGTGTTGATTTGTTCTAAAAAACCAAAATGAACATATGGTACCTGTATATATGCACGTTTACCAAATTAAAGGTATACAACATAACATGAACATACATGATGAACAGATTATTGCATGGGCAAATATGGAACATGCTTCTTTGAAACTGCATCTGCTTCCTTGTCAAATGTGAATAGCAGTTTACCAAGAAGTTGGACATTAACAGAACTAGGAAGGAGAATAGACATGAAGAACAGTTTACTATACTACAAGTGAGACATTAACAGGATTCTACAGAAGACACATGATGTAAAAGGCTAAACGTTTACTAAGTCAACAGTCTAAGTTGACCAACCCATTGTAATAGTAGATGGAGGGGAAGTACCTATAAAATTGGATGGATTGTACATTATACAGAATAAACCTGTGTAGTTTCTCTGTCCCCACATGGTTTCACTATCCTATTCATGGATTGTTAATTACAATAATTGATATCAATGCCAACATTTAACTAGCCTTTTAAATATTTTGCAACGTTTGCACTAAAATTAACCGGACTACAGTATGATCAATAGATTTGAAGATACAACAGCTGTATTTAGTTTAGAATGCTAAAGTTAATGACTGACTGCTTTAATCAATCATAAAGTCTGTTGAGAGCCAGAAGGGTGTTACAATCTTTTTCTTTCCTATTTTTTCTTCAAAGTAATAGATGTAAGTTGTAACATCCTTTTGGCACTCAGCTGGCGTTGTGTATTTCAAAAGGATTTAACAAAGTTGCTCAAATTGAAATGTGATCCAATTTCTTGATGCAACATGTGGCTACATACAGTAGTCAAAAGGAAGTGACTACATGTGCATGTCCTATGGCAAAGCATAATTGTTGAGAAAGGTGTGGCAAACATACAAATGAGTACACACTACTTCTTGAAATGTGTTAATATTAAATGGTTGAGCTTTAATAAACATGGGTAATAATTTTGCATCATTCAATGCACAATAGGATACAATCATTGTGATTCCTATGTTTCCTTTATTGTTCAGTATGTACATTTCACGTCTCATTGCACAACTGTGCCAAGTTTGGTGCCTCTAGAGAAAAAGTGCACAATTCAGCCAAATTTTGGAGCTATGCCGCTGTACTACAGAAATTTTTCATGAAAATGAAATTATTATATCTCACTTAAAAAAAACATCATTTGCTTTGTAGGTCTACATTGCCCACGTACTGTATGTTTGTCAAACTGATAGAAGCAATTGCTTTCGTCCTTTGCACATTTGTGAGCATTGACATTCAAAATTTATATTCTATTCTTAGTGTTTGAAGCTGATTTTCTATATATGATCATATCAGAGCATCACACAGATTTAAGCATGTGAAAATTGTGCTTTTCAGGAAGAGCATGACGATATTTCATCTCATACAATGACATTCTATACGATGCATGACAGGGAGAAAAAAAATACATGGGGTTCGGGGCAAATTAGCCCCCCAAATGCCCCCCCCCCCCCCCCGAAAGTCATAAAAGAACCCCAATTTTTTTGTGCATAGAGTTCAATGCAAAACAAATTAAAGAGTGTAATCTTAATGCAAGTAAGCTTGAAAAGTCGCCCCCCCCCCCCCCCAATTTTTAAAATATTTTTTCCCCTGATGCATGAGTACTTCACAAAGTCTATTCTGTTCAGGCTTTCCCTTCTAATCTGTCGCTAAATTATGAACTGCAAAGGCAACATAGGAAAATTGTGCAAAACTGTGTTCCTCTTGAACTTTTTGTATTCCTGTTACCATTCCTCCCCCATACATAGACAAACGCACAGAAATCGACTAACGTCCATTATTTGCAGTGATGATATTGATGTTTGATATATTTGAAATGCACATTTAGTACGACATACATTCTCCATTCTCTCTCTCTCTCTCTCTATTAAAATAATGATATAATTTTTAAGGAAATAATTATAAAGTTTCATGAAAGATCAGATATTAAAGGAAATACTGTTTCATTTTACATGTACGCTACTGAAAAATCTCTATATACATTTGAATTCAACATCAAACTCTATGCTCTTATGCAGCCATGGAAAACTCCAACCACCCAAAAAGAATTATGCATGCATGATTTCAAATAGGTGGGTTCTTTTCCAACCCCCCCAAAATTACAAGAAATTTTGCCTAGGCTACCCTCAAATCTACAAATGATCAATACCATTAAAAGTTATCCAACCTGAACAAGAAGTGAACAAGAAGTTCTAAAATGATGATGATTAAACAACAAAGAGCAAAAGAAAGTAATGAATTTGAACAAATATAGCCCAGCTACATGTATATGAGGAAAAAGAACTCTTTGAAGTAAGAATGTTCTTACCACTTTTGTTACCACTCCCCTCTTGGGTAGTTTTCCCGGAGTCTATAAAAGAGCGAGATCAGTACCAAATATGACTCAACGGCAAATTGGCAACACATACATGTAAATACAGGGGGGTATGATGTTACACTGTATCTATGGGGACTACAGTAGTATCCGGACATGGAGATCATACAGCACACCACGCATAGCATTTAGGTTTACATCTCATATTTTATCAATAACATGTCTGTCACATTTTATCAACCTGGGGGTGTTTCACAAAGACTAAGATCGACTTTAAGTTGGACTTAACTATGGCAGGCTGATCATGCCACTGTTTGCTCTCACCATTTACTGGCATTGGTCTCTCAAGGGACGTACAAATCATGGTCACAAATCTAGAGAATTAACATTTTTGGAGAGTTCATTATTGAAGGAAAGAATATTATCTAAAGATCATAATGGTGAGAGCAACCAGTGGCATGAATGGCCTGACATAGTTAAGTCCAACTTAAAGTAGATCTTAGTCTTTGTGAAACACTCCCTGGTCACTACTGAATTCTCTAAACTCCCATGGGCTGAACACAGCGACTACCCAGTTACCACCGGCGATAGGGCAATGAGTGAATACGGGTTTGGAATCCTTCCTAGAGTGCTCATGCAATACCAGTCCCTTTCAAATATGTAATGTAGGCCTACACTGCAGGTTGGAAGAAATTGTTAGGCACAGACACTCCTCAAGACTACAGCTCACAAACGAGTCCATATCATGCCATATCAACAAAATATGGGGTGTGAAATTTGCATTCTAATATTAGCCAACTTTTGTGATTTAACCCTTTTTAATTTCTATACTATGAGCACCAAACAAATTCCCAGCATGATGAGGGTTCAATCTGGAGTTACATGTATTTTGCAAACTGCTAAATATAAAAGCATTAGAAAACTAACATGGTTAATCAGCAGGGCAGGGGTAGAGAGAGATAGGTTAGATGGTTAGACAGATATACAGGACAGAAAAACAGACATAAACTTCCTGCCCAGTTGATCTTTGGAATGTAATTGCTGAAATCAGAAAATAAAATGTATACTTTTTGTCCAAGTCGGGATTTGATCTCTTGCGTTTAAATGTTGTTTGACTAAAATCACCGCCTTAGACCGCCTGGCCATCCCGCACTGATGCTAGCTTAGGTAGTTTTTTGTGATGCATACATTGCACCTCTCTCTTGTGTATTGAAATGGATTCAAAATAGCGACTTCGCGTGCTGGATGCTTCGCGGCAGCTCCGTTAAACAGGCCCTTCTTTTACTTTTGCAATGCATTGGCACGAACTTAGATCAAGATCTATCGGCAGATGTTGTTTTTGGAAGTTTATTTTCGTTTTCATGTCAACAATGCAAGATAAAATTGTCGGTAAGATGTGTGGAAATGTTTAGTTATTGTATCGTTCATAGATCTAGTCCCATATGTGCAAATTTGTGCTGTTTTTTACTTACTTTTAAATTTTTTTTTTACTCTTTTGTCGGATAGGCCGCACCCCGACTTTTTGATATTTTCTCTTCCAAAAATACTGCAGCCTTTACGCCGGCAAATACAGTATATCACTTTGCTTCCACTCCTTGTTCATATTTTCAAAGAGATACAATAACCTCTCTAACATGTACATGTTTATCCACACCAATCAATGTTCTGGAGCAACTTCCCCAAAAAATAATCAATAGATTTACACTTTAAGTGAGCGCAGGTTTTTGCATGAGCAATAGTGCATGACCAAAGTATGAAAGAAGCTTAAATTCAACATGATCATAGTCATACTGATACTTACAGCCATCCAATCAACTGATAACGATCCAATCAACTGTTTATAAAAACTCCCTAGCTCTACATGTACATGATCATGGTCACATTAACACAATTGCGCAAGCCTGACAAGTGACCACTCCCAGCCATGTTTTTAGATTCAATCTACCCCCCTCCCCCCTCATTATATACGCTGATGTGTAAAATCAATGGAGATACATGTACTGCAAGTGCAACATTGCACGAAATCAACTGAATCATGAATGCATTCACTTAGACTCAGTCAGAGCTCAGCTGCAGAGTAGTCTAGACTCTAATCTACAAAAATGAGAGGTGGCTTCCTTCATGAAAATGCCAAATTATTGCCCATAAGTAACATCTCTTCTTAAATTTCAATTCAAATCTTTTAGGCCTAAGAGTCAAACATACATTACTCATTAGATTACAATCAGTACATGGACATAGATTATAGACCTGGCTGTAGACCAGTGGCCAATGGACCCAGTCAGTGCAGTATGTTCAATTGTGCCACCCGTGCACGGTTGCTAGCACACACACCCCGCAGCTCTTCAGCCAGTCCCCGACCCGAGCCGGGCGGAGTTCAGCACAGCAATTGCAAAGTTAGAGACAAGTTCGCTGGTCAAATTCATCGTATGGTGTACATATTATTACATTAATACCACATTCAAAACAAGGATCAATAATCACATCACTCTTCCCATAATCAAAATACATAATATAATGCGGAAACACATGTTATTGAGGATTTTACAAACCTGAGCCAGCCATGATGAAGAAGTATGTTCGTCTCTAGAATCTGTACAAGTCAACTGTTGCAGTTAAAACCGAGAGAGGGCGCCGGCGGCGTGATAAGTTTGGTTTGCGAAAACGTCAACTATGTCACGTCACGGGTTTCTGAGAAGTGAATTTGTCATGTCCTAAATAAACTTAAATCTACACTGTACTCAGGCGCGTAACGCGTACGCAGGGGGAGGGGGGGGGGCGGTTGAACCCCCCCCCCCCCATTAACTTTTTTATGTGTGTGTTTTGGAGGAACCCCCCCCTTTTGATTTATTTATAAGAAAAAGAAACAAAAAAATTGTGATAATGGTTGACCCAAAAAAGCTGACCCTCCCCCCCCCCCCCCCGCTTATTCAGCGGCTGGCTAAGTTATTGCGAAATTTTTGGGACCAACAAAAAATAAAAAACATGTCCTCTTACCACCTCCCCCCCCCCCCCCACCCCCCCCCCCCCCCCCGCATATTCGTTGCATATTCGTTGTGAGTCGTTGCAAAATTTTCGGCCTGATTTTCAAGTTTTAACCCCCCCCCCCCCCCATAAGCAAAGCATTGTTCATTCATGTTCTGTATCCAATTGGTCTTTTGTTTGATTCACATCTTAATGCATTATTTCTTTAGTTCTTCCATGTACATGCCAAGAAATTTCTTGTTGAAAATCATGGTTATATACAGTGCGAGTCAAAAAAAAGTTTACACCTAGAAAATTGCTAATTATTAAAAAAATCATCTATGAACGGTAAATTATTATACATCCTATAAAAGACTGTTTTATCCCGAATCATTTGGTATCTTTTTTGTGTGGTATGTGTTCACGTTTGGATGAACAGGAGGCAATGTTTGCGAGAGTGCGAAAATCGATTTGCGCCAAAGTTGCTTATGTAATGTTTTAATAAAACAATTAGGATTTGGGTATTAAATCGGTCATTGCAGATCCAAATCAATCAGTCAGCCCAATCATTAAAAGAATTGACCGGTCAGTCAATCAATAAATCAAATAGCGCATTTATGCTTTCTTAGCAGTCAGGTAAAAAAACAAAACAACAACCAACAGTCAATCAATCAGTCAAACAAACATTCAATTAGTCAATTGATAAATTAATCAATCTGTCAGTCAATCAATCAATCAATCAATCAGTTACTTAATCAGTCAGTCAGTCAGTTAATCCATCCATCAATCAATCAGTCAAACAAACATTCAATTAGTCAATTGATAAATTAATCAATCTGTCAGTCAATCAATCAATCAGTTACTTAATCAGTCAGTCAGTCAGTTAATCCATCCATCAATCAATCAGTCAAACAAACATTCAATTAGTCAGTCAATTGATAAATTAATCAATCTGTCAATCGATCAATCAATCAGTTACTTAATCAGTCAGTCAGTCAGTTAATCCATCCATCAATCAATAATCAAGCAATTACTTCTTTTATCAGTTAGTCAGGAAATCAGGCAGCAAATCGGACAGTCAATGAACAAATCACTTTAGATTCAATAAGTCAATCAATCCATCTGACAATCAATCAATCAATCAACCAATAAAATGTTTTATGCTTTAAGATATCAAATCTTACCATGATCTGTAACCCAGTCACCAGCAGTTATTTATTTATCTTTATTCATGTAAACAGTACAAATACTAAGGCTGTGCACAACAGTGTAATGAGGTACCCGAGTACACTCCTATGCTTACAAGCGAATACTCGAGTATTCGGACGCCATGTTTTTTTTGATTTTTTTTTTTTTTTTTGATTTTTTTTTTTTTTTTTTTGATTTTTTATTTTTTTTTGATTTTTTTTTTGATTTTTTTTTTTTTTTTTTGCCACCACCATACCACTGGAGCAGTATCCCAGTTCTGTCGCCGAAAACGCATGCAATTTTACTTTGAGTTGCAGTTGAAAAAAAAAAAAAAAAAAAAATTGCCGAATATTCGGGTACGAGAAATCGTACCCGAGTAGTTGTCAACCGTGCGGGTACTCGAGCATTCGACTACCCTGCACAGCCTTAACAAATACTTCATCATTTTTACAACATAGACAGTCAAAATATATCATAATATATCAAATACCCCAAGCAATCAGCTTTTGTCAGTTTTTGTGTATGAATGATATAAAGACAATAAATAATTTCTATTTTCTATATACTACATGTATTCTGGCTGACAAGCACATATTATTGCTTTTTCATGTCTCAATGGCGAGCTAAGGACACATGATAACAAATGTTGGTTGGTTTTCTAGCATGGACAGTAAACATAAATAGATCAACTACATCTGTTTCTGAAATAGCATTCAAATCAGCATATTTAGACACTTTATATATAAAAATTAACCCCTTTGACGGAACCTTATCTGAGAATCATAATTATTAGTGACGAATGCAGATATTCTAAAGCACATGGGTTGCTTCTACCTGAACATGGGTAAATCAGAAATCATAAGAATTCTAGAAAGATATTTTTCAAGGTAGTCATAGATTCATTTTTGATAAATTACAAAGATATGTCATATACAGTATAACCTGTTTTAGCGACCATCTGAATAGAAAGACCACCTGCCTGTAAAGACCACATTTTCTGATTCCCTTAAAAAAAATATGTAGTTTCTCATCGAAAAATGTAGGTAAATGAATTGACAATGAAACTGTACATAAAGAACACCTGCCCATACAGACTACTTTTCTTGCCTCCTTTGAGAGGATTAATAGAAGGTTAACTATATTTTTACATGAACAGTGTCTCAAATAATTATATATAACGCTTTCACCAAAAAAATGGAATATACCTGCCAGAAACCTTTATCAGTGCACTTGCACTTGTTCAATATGTGGTCATTATTGAATAAATCACATTTTCTAATAAGCAGGTTGATGAGAAGTAATTATAGTGAGGGAAGAAACCATTGTTTTGAAAGAAAAATATTTCCAGCCAATGTCTGTCATAATCTGAAATAAACTATGGTTGTGCATGAAATGACATCCTAAAGTCAATTTCCATAGCTTTATGTCTATGGCTCTTGGAGTGTCTGGCTCTATTTGTATCTTCTACAGCAACGGCTTTCTTACGTTCATTCTTTTTTTTCTTTGGTCTTTTCACAGCACTGGTATCAAAGGGTTTAAAATGTGTAATTCTGGGCCTCACATCACTGTCTGCCGAGCCCAAACCTTCGCGATCTCTCTTCAAGATTGTCTTGACCGGGAACTTTTGTCCTTCACCTTCCTTTCCAAGCCCCTTCTCTTTGTCCCAACCTTCGTGAAGCATCATCTGAAAACCGCGGTTGGATTCAGGGAGGTGGTAGTGGGTCGGCCGAGGGCCATGGCCGCAGCTGAACAGATGAGCGGTGGAGTGCCGATGGGTCCGAATCTCGTCCTTAAAGTCAGACTCACACTTTTCGCACCAGATAGGTTGTCGACCTCGAGAACAACCCTCAATGTTCCTTGTTCGACGATCAAAACAACTCTCTTTCCTCTCCATCTGCTCTAGCGCTTCCACGACTTCATCATGGCCTGCTCTTTGTGCCAACTCGAGAACAGTCTGCCCCTGCTTGTTTCTGTGTGTCAGCCCTGCAGGATGTTTTCTTCCAAGGTACTTCACCACATCTACATGGCCACTGTACGCAGCACACATCAGTGCATTCCACCCAAACCGATCAGCGTTGTCCAAGTTGCTGTTCCCTTCTTTGACAATTTTCCTGATTTCGCTAAGATTTCCCTCTTGGCAGAGCCTAAGTAACAGGTGAATACCTTGTTCACTTCTGGGTTTATGCACTGAATTTGTCAAGCTGTTAGTCCTGGGAGAATCAGAAGCAGGAAGCTTTGATTTGGATGATTTATATTTCACTTGTTTATTCCCGGTTTCAGGTTTCTTTTGGCAGTAACGATCACCATCATCCTCTAATGTACTATCAGATGACTTCTTCTGACTTGATGGAGATTCAGCAATAAGACTCTCATAAAATTCCCTTGCTTCCTTTCCCGCAATTTCCTGCTTTCCTTTGATTTCTTGATCATATGACCTCCTTGCCTGCAGAGATTCCAAGTTCTTTTTCTTTGCTTTCACAAAATCCACTGGTTTCACTTTCCCCAGATACGCCATGGTTGGTCAAGTGTCATCATCTGTATCATGAAGAAAAAAAAGAAAGAAGAGAAATACAAGATCAACATCAGGTGCAGTAGATCTAAATGTACATGGTTTATTATAACCAAACGATTGATCACATGGGATACAGTTATGGTAACCTAAGTGCACTAAACTTACTAAAGATACAGTAAATTTTCAATTAAAAAAAAATCAAATTAGTTGGTAGACGTACAGACAATGGTAGAAAAGAAGATTTTGTTTCCCACTCATTGAAGACTATGGCAATGACATAGGAAAGGAAGTAACACATAAACTAAAACTTTAGTTTAGGAAAATCTATTCAGACCTAGTTAGACAGGAATAACTTTAGTTTCAATACTGCCGTTGTCTGTCCTCATGCTGGCAGACGGCAGTGCAATAGTAGTGACAGTTGTCAATGCCTGTTGCCAGTGAGTGACTGCATTGTCATGATGCTTTGAACTAATGATAATGTCCGCGCACCTTTCTTTAAAATGAAACGTAATATATTGTCGTCTTTTCAATTTATTCCGTTTATTCAGTTTTATTGTTTCATATTTCACATAGGTCTACATTTCGAAATAATTTCACAAAGTAAGTGGAGCAAATAAACATGAATTCTATTAACAGAGACAAAAAACAGAAAGTAAGTACCGGTACCTATTATTACTATCATTAGGCTCATGTGAATTGTTGAATGTATTATACTAAAAGACTGAACTAAAAAAGAAGAGTGATTGTTCATGGCAACAGACTACGTATTAATACATAGCCTGCTGCCATGAAATCACGCTGCACGCTGGCCCTGTGTATGTTATCGTGTGATCGCATTGTATTATAGTGTGATCGTGTTATTCACTCAATGACGTAACCTAACCTGCATGTACCAGTAACCTAAAAAAACGACTTGGAAAAGAAGAAAACTGCTCAAACATTTCAGCCTTTATACACGGTAATAGTAGATATAGAGAATTATAAGGGGGAAAATGTTTATTATAGGCTTATAGCACGTTTGTGTCCTTCTTATTCTTGTACTTTTTACACAGGGCCTCCATTTAACATCTTATCCTAGGGAAGGGGTGTTTTCCACTTAACATAGCCTGCAACTATGAAACAACGGCAGGGGCACGTTAACACACAATGCAGGCTTCAGTCATTCGCCTGGGTGGGATTCGAACTCGAGATGTTTGATTCGACAGGCAGATGCTTTACCGACTGAGCCAACTCGCCTTCCCCAGCTGCAGTCACCAACATTCTCTCTTCTCTCCTCTTGCATGCGGTCCATCCAAGCAAACACTCTGACATTGCATAGAACATCATATCACACAAACTTCAAACAGCGTAATCAAAAGTCAAAACAACTAGATCTACACTACAGACAGATCTAGACTACTAGAGTCTACACATAAAATGAATGAAATATTGGCAATTTCGTGAAATAAGCCACCGGCCACCGCGGCCGCGCACACCGCTCATTCACGTTATTAACATTGTGGCAGTTCATTGCGTGTAAACAGGCTCAGCTCAGTAGTTGGAATTCCACTTCTATTCCCCATTCAAAGGCAAGTGATGACCACTGGCTCATTTCATGAGAAGGCTAAATGTTCATGACATACCTCAACATATCAATTAGCATTCAAATAATCTTACTTACCTATCAAATTATTTCACTTTCACTATAAATTAGAATCTAGTTCTTTGGCTCTGCTCTCGATTTCGTAAACGTTTATCAATCTCGGTAGCATATATTGGCACCAAGATTAACGGCGATATGAATATTCATTATTCCCTACGTCACAGACGTGCGGCGTGCGTACTCTGTCATATACACATGTATTCAGTACATGAGTACGTTCGTAAGCATTAGGTCATGTACATTGCTCCGGAATGAAGAGAATCATTATAAAGGACGAATTACTCCGTGAAGCCAAGTACAAGCAGGGAATTGAAAATAGCAAACGTTCCTCGGAGCGGCTATACACTCCCTAATCTAGCTAGTTTTGTAATGATAGTTTATTTAGGATAATGGACATTTAGTAGGCCTATTGTTTAGTTGTTAAATAACATCACTCAGTGTGATTTGATTCGAGATATATCTCATTAATAAAACAGTATAAAGGCTGTATGAGTCTCGAACGAACCATATCGCCACTAATCTTGGTGCCAACACCGTTAAACTATGCTCCAAATTTAGTAATACATTTTGTGTGCCCTATAATGACCCGGGGTTGGATTATTTAGGAGAACAGAAGATTGATATTGTTAAGTTGTTTCATAACATCACTCAGTTTGATTTGATTCGAGATATATCTCATTAATAAAACAGTATAAAGGCTGTATGAGTCTCGAACGAACCATCGCCACTAATCTTGGTGCCAACACCGTTGATCTATGCTCCTAATTTAGTAATACATTTTGTGTGCCCTACGAAAGACCCGGGGTTGAATTATCTGGGAGAACGGAAGATTGATATTGTTAAGTTGTTCCATAAAATCATTCAGTTTCATTTGATTCGAGATATATCTCATTAATAAAACAGTATAAAGGCTCTATGAGTCTCCAAGAACGATCGCCACTAATCTTGGTGCCAACACCGTTAATCTATGCTCCAAATTTAGTAATACATTTTGTGTGCCCTATAATGACCCGGGGTTGGATTATTTAGGAGAACAGAAGATTGATATTGTTAAGTTGTTTCATAACATCACTCAGTTTGATTTGATTCGAGATATATCTCATTAATAAAACAGTATAAAGGCTCTATGAGTCTCACACGAACGATCGCACTAATCTTGGTGCCAACACCGTTAATCTATGCTCCAAATTTAGTAATACATTTTGTGTGCCCTATAATGACCGGGGTTGGATTATTTAGGAGAACAGAAGATTGATATTGTTAAGTTGTTTCATAACATCACTCAGTTTGATTTGATTCGAGATATATCTCATTAATAAAACAGTATAAAGGCTCTATGAGTCTCACACGAACGATCGCCACTAATCTTGGTGCCAACACCGTTAATCTATGCTCCAAATTTAGTAATACATTTTGTGTGCCCTATAATGACCCGGGGTTGGATTATTTAGGAGAACAGAAGATTGATATTGTTAAGTTGTTTCATAACATCACTCAGTTTGATTTGATTCGAGATAATCCCATTAATAAAACAGTATAAAGGCTGTATGAGTCTCGAACGAACCATCGCCACTAATCTTGGTGCCAACACCGTTAATCTATGCTCCAAATTTAGTAATACATTTTGTGTGCCCTATAAAGACCCGGGGTTGGATTATTTAGGAGAACAGAAGATTGATATTGTTAAGTTGTTTCATAACATCTCTCAGTTTGATTTGATTCGAGATATATTTCATTAATAAAACAGTATAAAGGCTCTATGAGTCTCGAACGAACCATCGCCACTAATCTTGGTGCCAACACCGTTAAACCATGCTCCAAATTTAGTGATACATTTTGTGTGCCCTATAATGACCCGGGGTTGGATTATTTAGGAGAACAGAAGATTGATATTGTTAAGTTGTTTCATAACATCACTCAGTTTGATTTGATTCGAGATATATCTCATTAATAAAACAGTATAAAGGCTCTATGAGTCTCACACGAACGATCGCCACTAATCTTGGTGCCAACACCGTTAATCTATGCTCCAAATTTAGTAATACATTTTGTGTGCCCTATAATGACCCGGGGTTGGATTATTTAGGAGAACAGAAGATTGATATTGTTAAGTTGTTTCATAACATCACTCAGTTTGATTTGATTCGAGATATATCTCATTAATAAAACAGTATAAAGGCTGTATGAGTCTCGGACGAACCATCGCCACTAATCTTGGTGCCAACACCGTTAAACCATGCTCCAAATTTAGTAATACATTTTGTATGCCCTATAAAGACCCGGGGCTGGATTGTGTAGGAGAACGGATGATTGATATTGTAAAGTTGTTCCATAATATCACTCAGTTCGATTTAATTAGAGATATACCTCATTAATAAAATATATATATATATAAAAGCTATAGTCTCAAACTAACTTACCTGTACACCATTAAACTTGGTGCCAACACCATTAAACCATGCTCCAAATTTAGTAATACGTTTTGTGTGTCTGCAAAGACCCGGGGTTGGATTATTTAGGAGAACGGAATATTCCTATATTGTTAAGTTGCTCTATAACACAGGCGCGGTTCCAGGGGGGGGGCAGCGCCCCCCCCCCCGCAAAAATAAAGAGAGAGAGAGAGAGAGAGAGAAAGGAAAAGAAGGACAGGGAAAGAGGAGAGAAAGGGAAAGAAAGAAGAGGAAGAAGACAAGAAAAGGGGGAAGAAGGAGATTGGGGGGGGGGGGACCGAAATGGCCTTGCCTTCCAGGCTGTTGCCTCCCCGCCCCCCCCCCCCCCCCAATCAAAAAAAAATATGAGCGAAGGAAGGAAAGGGAAGGGAAGAAAGGAAAAGAGGAGATAAAGGGAAGGGAAATAAAAGAGGAAGAAGAAAAGAAAAGAAGGAGGAGATCAGTTTTCCTGCCAATAAGTTGTGGTTCGGGGGGGGGGGGTTATTTCTAATTCCATAACGGTGACTTACAAATGTTGCTAAAATGACATCATTTTCCGAGATTGTTCCTCACTTTTTATTAAATTATACTTTTTTATGCGTTTGTTGGAAAATGACATATTCCGAAAATTACAGTCAGGCAAGAAAAATATGCTTATTGAGATGCCTACATGTCGGGGCCCGCGGAACGGTCGGGATCGGGAGCCTCGAGCTCCCTCGCCCTCCACCTCTTTTTTGAAAAAGTATATTAAAGAGAGCAAGAAATAAAGAATAGTGAACTGCCAGTGTCACAGAAAAAACGAGGTATCAAAATATGCTCATCTGACCGTGATTAAATGCCTAAACCCCCCGAACTTTCGGGGTCTCTACCCTCTGGATTCCACCTAGGGCCCAAAGGTCGGCCCTTAAATGCTCATCTGACGGTAATTTAATGCCTAAAACCACTGGAAATTCTTGGGGCTTCGCCCCCTTTACCCCAAGCCAAATAGTGTCCTGCAAATGTCACAAAATAATAAGGTATCAAACATTGCTAACCTGACCGTAATAAAACGCCTAAAACCCCTGAGCCTACGGGGGCTCTGGCCCTGAACCAAACCAAGGGCCCTAAGGCGGGCCCCTGAATGCTTATCTGACGGTAATTAAACACCTAAAACCCCTGAGTTTCCGAGGGCTCTGCCCCTAGACCCAACCAAGGGCCTTAAGGCGGGCCCCTTGATACTCATTTAATTTAATGCCTAAAACCCTTGAGCTTCCGGGGCCTCGCCCCCTGAACTCCACGACAATTGGTGATCTGCCAGTGTCACAATAAGTCCCCCCCCCCCCCAAAGAAAAAAGAGAGGAGAAAAGGGAAGAGGTCATAGGAAGAAAAAGGAGCAGACAAAAAAACAATTTTGAAATTCAGACAAGGATTAAGAGTCCAGAACGGTACACAAATCGTCTTCTTTCTTTAATGATTTAATGAAACGTCAAAGCTTCCGCGCTTCGCGTATGAGGGAGGGGAAACTCGCCCCTCCCTGCATCCCCCCCCCCCCCAGGGAACGCGCTCTGTAAGTGATTCGCACGCATCGCGTGCTCCGACCCCCCTAAAATAAAATCCTAGCTACGCGCTTGCCTGACCGTAATTAAACGCCTAAAACCCTGAGCTTCCGGGGGCTCCGCCCCCTGGACCCCACGCAATTAGTGACCTTGCCAGTGTCAAAAATAAGGTATAAAAATATGCTCATTTGACCGTAATTTAATGCCTTAAACCCCTGAGCCTCCGGGGGCTTAAGGTGTGCCCCTGAATGCTTATCTGACCGTTATAAAATGACTCAAATCCCTGAGTTTCATGGGGCTCAGCAAGTAAGTTTTGAAAAAGAACAAAAACGAGTAATCCAATTGTATCGGCAATTGTGGTATTGCGAATGTCATCAAATATGTTTTTTCCTTTTAACACAATAATTGTTTTGCAACTCAATTTAGGCCTGACTAAATATATACTTTTTCGTCAGGCCACAGACAAGTTATTTTATCATATAACTGATTAACATTTGAAGTTTTCCTACACTAGTGCCTGGCCGCAGTGGCGGATCCAGGGGGCCCGGGCGCCCTCCCCTGGGGAAAAAAGAAGGAAAAAAAAGAAGGGAAAAAAAAAGAAGGAAAAAAAAGGAGGAAAAAAAAAAGAAGGGAAAAAAAAGAAGGAAAAAAAAGGGGGAAAAAAGGAGGACAAAAAAAGAAAGAGAAAGAGAAAAGGAAAAGAAGGGAAAGAGGAGAGAAAGGGAAAGAAAGAAGAGGAAGAAGAAAAGAAAAGGGGAAGAAGTGATCGGGGGGGGGACGAAAGAGCCTCGCCTCCCCCTCTCCCCCCCCCCCAATCAAAAAAATAAGAGAGAAGGAAGGAAATAGAAAGAAGGGGGTATCAGTTGCAATTTTTCCGCCAACAAGTTGTGCATCGGGGCGGGGATGGGGCAAAATGCCCTTGCCTCCCCTGCCCCGCTAAAAAAAAGAGAGAAAGAAGGAAAAGGAAAAAAGGAGAGCTAAAAGGGACCGAAAAAAGCTGAAAAGAAGGGGAAATAGATCATTTGCAGTTAATCCCGCCAACAACATGTGGAGAAGGGTGGGGGCCGAAATGACCTTACCTCCCCCTCGCCCCCCCCCCCCATCAAATCTTACAGAAAGAGAAGGAAGAGAATGG